TCCTTCATCTCCTTAACAAAGAGAGGGATATCAACATATTGTTGGGACTATTTACAAGTCAATGTGCCAACCAGGTAGGCATCAGGGAATCTTCACTGACAGCAAACCTATTCAGACTAAATCAAGAGAGTTGGGAGGGATCCCTGAAGGTCAAAAACCCTGCCTGCCTTCTATTTTTTTCTATGCCATCAAGTCCTTTCTGAGTTATGGCAACCTGTGAACTAATGACCTCCAAAAGGTCCCATCATTAATACCCCCCCTCAGAACATGCCTTCCTTTATTAAGCCAATCCATCTCATGCTAGGTTTTTCTCTTCTCATACCACCTTCCATCTTTCCTAGGATTACTAGCTTTTTCAGTGAGACTTCTCTTCTAATAATATGCCCAAAGCACAATACTTTCCATGGAGTTACTTTAGGTCTGATAAGAATTTTTGGCTCATTTGAATCAAATATCATTTATTTGTCTTTCTGATGGTCTATGGTGCCTGCAAAGCTCTCCTCCAACAGTATATTTCAAATAATCAAAACCCCAAAACAATACATTACATTAATCATGCAAATCCTCTGGGCCATGAATAGCAACATGAAAATTCAAATACCATTGGGAGCTTTAAAAGTAGAGATCTACCAAGCATATGTAACAAAATTTTGCACTTGCAAAAATGTTCCGCAGAAGGTCCTTCCCATAAGACTCCTGGTGGGACAGGGCAACAAAATTCAATTAGGAGGGGGAAGTCTGAAAGAAAAAGCAAGTTCTTTAAGCATATGAAAACTCTGGAGGTATATGAAGCAAAACTGGTATCACGATGAAATTCCATTAAGTAATGTACCATTATAGAAAAAGCCAAGAAGTATTAAGTAAGGAAAGAAAGTGGAAAATTGAATTTATGTTTGAATGAAATGCCAATGTTTGTTATTTTAATGCATCACCGAGATATTTATAGACTCATTACGGTAAGTGGCAAGGCATCCATGGAGTATGGTCATCTATAGGTTACTCTTTGTGTTGATAAATTACCTATACTGACAATCAAATTCATACAAAATTGAAGAACACTAAACAACGCCTGAACTAAATGAACAGCCAATTTAAAAAGCAATGGAAACTATAATTGTCCATAGGAAAAATTGCACTGCCCAGCTGGACATTCATTAGAACAGCTTGACATGTCACAAAATAGTGACCCAAAATTCCTAAAGCTCCTCATTCCAGGCTGAGTAGCATCTATCATACAGGCAAAATTCTGTTGCATAACTATGTGGGTGCAACTCAATGTTGTGCCTGTGGTAGATGAGACAGCAGTGAGATGAAAGTCTTATCTAGAAAGAATTTCTGACAGTGCATTGCACAACTGGTCACACTAGGGATGCAGAACTAATTGCACAATTGAATTGTGCAACCTCTCCTTGCCAACCGTAATGCTCAGCCCATTTACATAGGCGTAACTTTACATTGGGATACACAGTGTCATACAGTGGATAAAATGAAGGACTAGGACTCAGGAGGACTGGCATTGAATCCCTGCCCAGCCATGTAAACTCACTAGGGTTGTGGAACTGGTAAAGCTACTCTTTAAATATCTCACTTATCTTGAAAGCCCTAATAGGGTTGCTATAAGTCAGTTCTGACGTGATGGCACACAACAACAATTTTGAATTCTGCCTGCATGAGCAGGATGTTGCCCAATTGTGTGTATACACACAACACAAATGAACAGTGAAGAAAGAAATTGGGTTGTTGTTGTTTACAACATGGACTAGATCAGTCTGACTCAGGTTATACCTAAGATACTGGGACAAACAGCGATCCTGTATTCCAATTATTGGAAACAAAGCCTAGCAGTTGTCCCAGTATACTTCCAAGCATAAGCAGAACACAACAGTACCTAGGCTGCAGGGTGGGTTCTTGGAATCATAGCTCCACAAGTAACTGTCCCAAGTTCTGACTACATTCTGCTCTTACGGAAGAGAATGTAGAATGGCCAGTAAAGGCTACAATTCCAAACATTCTTATCCCAAAATAATAGGCTGACTCCCGTAGAGTGTAGATACGATTAAAGGCATTATTGCTATTCTCGAGGTGCTTATTTTAGAACAACCCTGTCAGATTTGGCAGAATCTTGTCTTATCTGCTACGTGGATCAGATTTATTTTGCATTTTGCGTGTGCCAATTCCCTTTAAAAAGAAAAAGGAAAAGGGGGAAAAACTGGTTTCGTACCTTTCTTCAACAAGCAGTTGCAAGTGAGCCCAGATCCTAAAAACAGGGATCTATTTATATGCTGGAACTCAGTTAAATTATTTATCATGTCTTTAAAGCAAAGGAAAGCATGCCGCTTATATACAACCCTATAGCACTTAAAGCACTCTCTGGGCAGTTTGCAATTTAATTTTGTAGTCTGCACATTGCCCTGTCCCCCAGGTTAGCTGGGTACTCAGTTTATTGAATTCAGAAGGGAAGAAGACTGAGTCAACCTTAAACTGGCTGAGACCATCAGGATCGAACTCAGGCCTCGAGCAGTCTTGACTGCAGTATTTTAGCGTGAAATGCAGTGTTAAACTCATTTACCCCGACAAACCTCAAGGCTATCCATATGGGGAGCTTTCCATATAAGCAAAGTCTTCCTTTCAGCTTAATTTGGTAGGTGCTGTCACCAGTGTGCCCCTCCACTTTCTAGTTTGAAGTATTTAAGCATGGCCCATTCACTCAGTGCACAAGCCGCCCCTGCTTCAGAGCTTCAAAGACGGCGCACACAGTTTTCTGTACTTTCAAATGTGCATGTAGTCAATGGTATTTAAGGCTGCAGTCCTATGCACATGTTTACTGACAAGTTGTTGAAATATTGTGGATAGGACTGGGATGCATGATATCCAAGGAAGCAAGTCTGAGTAAACTTGGTGGAATTTATTTCTAGAGAAACATGCATAGAACATTGCACTAAAATATGTAACTTGGGCAGAAGATTTACATAATGCCATTATGGAGCTCATAAATCCCATGTGCATCTAAAAGCTTTAAAAAAAGAGCAAGACTTGTAACTGACTCTCCCATATGTGTTTGTGTAAAGAGAGAGTCAGTTAAAACCCTTGATGTACAGTATATGTACAAAGTGTAATATATACTAGGGAGAGAGGGAGGGAGGGAGAGAGAGAGAGAGTTAAAAGCCTTGTTCCATACATACATACATACATACATACATACATACATACATACATACAGGTTTTCCTTACAGACTTGTGTAGAGGAAAAGTGATTTCCTTCGGTAAGACTCTGAGCTCAGAATCAGAAGGTAATTCAGGAATCAGCAGACACTTCCTGAAACATATTCTTTGCATTTCAAAGTCAGCCATAAGCTTAGGTGAACTGAAGGGGCAGACTGTTTACATTAGTTAATCACCGTCCCTGTTGCCTGGATGTTTATGCGATCAACGCCTTTGCAAGTTCATTATCCATGTTAATGACGCTCTTGCCACGGTGGAAGTTCATTACCTGTCCCCGTTCCCTTGGGCCCCACCCCCGCAACCAGGCATCCGTGCACCTCCATCGGTGGCCTCAAGGCGACCCCCCCCCACACACACACACGTGTCTGGTGCTATCCTGGAAGCGCCACCACGACCCTTTCGCTCACCAGGCGACCTTTACCAACACTGCCCATCCTAAAAAGAGACCCCGTCATCTCCGAAATCACCTCCTGCTTTATCTTCCTATCGGCCCCGTATCTCTTTCCCCACCTTTTTCAGACGTTTTCCAAGAACGGGCGGCCCCAGCTACTTACAACACCGGAGCCGCCGGAGCGGTTCTAGCAGGACTGCTCTCGGCTGTTGGCTGGAAATCCAGGAAGGAGGGGGGGGGGGGGGAAAGAGACTTCTCCGGAAACTGATCAGCTTTCCCTGCCGGGGGAGGAAGGAGGGGGCTAAGGCAGCAACCCAAATTCACATGAATAAAGCTAAGGCGCTTGGTTACGTCGACTCTTCTTAAGGCAGCTGTCTTTAACAGCTGGACAATCCAACAGGTGGAGCCTTCCCTCACCTGGCGATTGAAGCTGCACCTGCTGATTTATCCTGCAGCTGTCGAAGCAAAAAAAAAAGCTTCCTTTGTAAAAGGATGCGAGAGGGCGCCGCGGGGGGGGGAAGAGGGAAAGGCGGCAGATTCGCAGCCCAAATGTGTTCGGAACTGTGCCCCCCCTCCAGATGTTACCCTCAGCTTTCCGTCTCTTTCCCTCTTTGTTCCAAGAAGATACGCAGTCGCAGGAATAGCAAGGGGCATTTAGTCGGGAGTAAGCAGTCTCGAACCACGGCTCCCCGCGGAGTAACTGGGGTTTACTCGGGCGAAAACATGCATAGGGCTAGACTGCAGATATTGTAAAGTCCAATGGGTCCTTACTCCCGCCCCCCCTTCCTTTTCAGAGCTCAAACCTGCACTTGGCTGGGGAGATAAAACACCGACGTGGTATGGCTAAGCTGCTGGCCGAACTCGGAAAACCCGGACCTCCGGAGAAGGCAGGCGCGAATGCAGTCTTCTGTCCTTCGTTGCTCGTGCCGGGGTCTCAAGATTAACGCGGGCCCCTCGGGTGCCCCCCCCCTCGCGCTCTCGGGCGAGAAAGGGAACACGCGCACCTTGCTTTTTCTGAACGGAACCCTTCCCGCTCCGCACCCATACACACGTTCGGCTCCTTGCCTGTGCCTGCCAACCCGGCTGCTCAAGGACCCAATCGGAGCCCGGCTCCGGCGGGCGGCCACAGCCTCCACGGCGCACGGATCTCGCTCGCTCTCTCTCTCTCTCTTTTTTGTGATTTTGGAGAAGGCAGCTGCCTTCCCTCTTCCGCCGGACTGCTCGTCCTTGCTCGAGCGGCAGGAGGCGCTAGCGGACACGGCTGCACCGGGCTGTGCAGAGGCTCCCGGCCGAAAGGAGTCCCTCATTCCCTCTGCCGAAGCGCTGAGAACCGGAGGGCTGGCCGCTCGGGCGCTCGGCTCCTCCCTTCCCCCTGCTCGCGGAGCCGCCAAGTAACTCTCCCCGAGGACAAGAGCCGCCGCTGCCGAGCGCAGCCCGAGTGCCTGGCTTAGGATTGCCCCTGAAGCGGGAGGAGAGGGTGCCCCTCAGCCCGCCCGCCCGCCTGCCCGGCGCGAAGGTGCCAAGGAGAACTGTTGCTACTCCGGCGCCTTTGCCTTCCTCTCTTTCCAGCCGGGCAAGAGGAGGAAGAGGAGGAGGAGGAGGAGCCGGACTGGCTGGGAAGGCGAGCTTTGCTCCCGGCTGCCAGAGGGAGCGAGCGAGCGGCTGAGCGGAGACTCCTCGCAAAAGTTCTCCAAACTCCCCATGGCTCCGGCGGTGGGAGCCGTCGGCTTGTTGGCGGCGCTCGCCTCCTTCGTCGCCCCCTCGGCGGCTCTTCTGGGAGCAGCCCGGGGACAGTTCTCGGCAGGTAAGCGGTGGCTTCACGGGAAGGCGCCTCGGTTCTGCGGCGGGAGGGAGGGGAGGAGGGCCGCGGCCGGAGAGTGCGAGTCGATACTACGTGTGCCTTTTCGCTTCGCCTTGCCGGGTTTGGGAAGCTCCCGGTCGGGGGCGAGGGCGCTTGGGTGCCGGAGGGGGGGAAGAGAATGGAGAGACGGAATAGTGGGGGAAAGAGAACCGAGGGGAGGGTGTTATAGATGTGCTGGCTTCCGAAGGAAGAACGGGGACCAACCTCGGCACCCCGTGGGCAAAGCCCCCACCCCACCCCGGCGAAGAGTAGTTGTTGGCTGTCTCCGCTTTAAGAAGGTGAGGGGCAGCCGAGCGTTCCACTTTGGAACGTCGAGACATCCTCTTTTGTGTTCCGAGTCGCCGCTTCCGAACGTTCGAAATCCTTCCCCGCCCGTCCCCCCCCCAGCTAAAATCACGGGGCATTCCCCTCCCTCGCTGAACTGTGCTTGGCGGATGCTGGGGGGGGGGGAATTTGTACAATATCGCCCTAAGTTGCCCCTTAGATATCGCCCGAGGAGACCTGAAAACAGATCGGCCAGGGACGGACTTCCAGCCCCCCCCCCCAAGTTCTCCCCTTCCTTTGTGGTCAGTTTTCCCCGGTGGCGGCGGCGGCGGCGGCGGCTTGGCTCTGTCGGGGACTCTCTGTGTGCCCCTTTGTTTCTAAAAATGGTATAGGTTCTATTGTCGTGTGGGGCAGAATTGAAGCGCGCTCGGTTCTGTGCGCAGTCACTTTGGCGACCGCGGCATCTCCTAGGACTCTCCTTTCAAGTTTGTCTGATAAGTTTACTTCAACATTGGAGGCAGTTGTTACTTTGTACCTATAGCGGAAAGAAGGCCGGTCGGCTTAAGGCGGGGAGGGGAAGTCCGCTGTGGGTCACTCACATCACTGAACAGGGGAGTCTTTCTTGCAACCCGAGCAGCTCACCTTTCTTCTCATTCCCTCCCCCTCCCCCCCCCCATGGAAGGCGCTGACTTTCGCAGCCCCTTTCTCTCCCAAGGGAAAGGGGAAAGCAGCCCCGGAAGAGTTAATGCCTTGGCGCGATTATCTGGGCGTCCTAAAGCAAACAAGCTGCGCCCTGCCGCGACAGGCCGATCCCGCCGAGCTTTTGTTGACTTTCTGTGAGTTTGTCGGGCTAACTAACTTTTGGCAGCGGCGCCGATCGCGGCTGTCTAACCTCGGAGGCAGCGCCTTTACCTGGGAGGGACTAGGGTCCTGTGCACGCGCACGCTCCACTGCCGGCCCGGAAAACCTATAGGGGTTGGTGTGTGTGTGTGTGTGTGTGTGTGTGTGTGTGTGTGTGTGTGTGTGTTTGTCGGGGGGGGCGGCGGGCGGGGGGGGAAAGAGATTCACGCCGCTTTCAAGCTAGGCTTTGTTTCTCGAAAAGGTGGCGATTAAGAGCTAAGGGAAGTCATCGGAGGGTTTTTTTGCGGAACTGGGAAGGGGGGAAAAACCTCAAAGGAATGCAACTTGACAGCAACGAAAGGAAATGCAGAAAATCTTAACAAACCTGCTTGCCCAGCTTAAGGGGCGCGCTCACACAGGAGACACATAGGCACATATTCCACATGAAACCTTTCCTGTGACCCCTCCCGCCTGCCCGCCCTTAATTGCCACCGCAGAAAAGGAGACCGATCTGCTCGTAGCAGCTTGTATACATAAAACAGTACTGTATATGTATGCACTTCCTCACTTCAACTTAAGTTTGGGATGGGGGGGGTTAGGTCTTTGGCAGAGCCCTGTTTTCTTTGTGGGCTATGATCAGGTGTTCTGCAGCCATTGTTAAGTTGAAATATTGTGTACGTGCTCATATGAGAGTAAGCCCCATTGCACTCAGTAGGGCTCCATTCTGAATGGGGAGAGGTTGGTCTTGCAAGGGAAACATGCCAGCAAAAGGCACTAAACAGCATTTACAATTTGCAACAAACACCCTACTTTGGGCAGGATTTAAATCGATTGAAAGTTTGAACTGGGACATTGCTGGGATTAAAACTGCCTCTAATTTTCAGCATTAGGAAATGTATATTTCTTTTGGTATATTTTTATCATAGGTGTAGGCATGTTATGTCATTTGTCCATATCCCGAGAACATCTGTGCAGACTTCCTTTGTAATTGGACTTTCCTCTTTGTGCATATGTTCCTCTAGGTATTTTTAAAATGCTATATACAGTTGCAGGTAAAAGAAAGGAGCTGGCAGCTGTATTGTTTACATTGGTATGCTTTTTACACAGACCTGTCTATGCAAGATTACATGTTCCTCATGCCTGAAATGTAACATGGAAATTTGCCATTTGATTGCCACAATCTGAATGCTGTCTCAGGATGTTGTTAAATTTGTGATCTCTGCTCAGGCTTTTATTCTGAAAAGTTTGTGCTGTGTTGGTTAGTTGTATTCCTCCCCTTGCCCCTTCACCAAGTGGTTATGTAATGATTGTCTCCTACAGTTACACAGTACTTTGTGGCTTACAGTGTTACAGTAATGGCCAAAGAGTTACCTCATTATTGTGGCATTTTACTAGGTGTGGTGTTAGAACAAAAGAGGTGGTGGGAGAGAGAAAAGAAAGAGGTTGAAATGGCATTCTTAGAGAGTAATTCACAGACCATATGCAAGGCTACAAGGATTAGATTCAACAACTCCAAGTGGTCTATGAGTGGTTCAAATATTTTTAGATAAATGGTCACTTAAATAAATTGGATCTATATTCCAGTATGCTTGAGATGGTGCTTTTTTCTCCATGTTAATCCCGTACTTAGTTTCACAGGGAGTTTGAGAAATGTGTCAGGAACCTCGGAGCTTGGTTGGTTGTGTCCCTGTTGACTGGGTCCCTGGGAGTGTAGATTTTAGCTTGAAATTAAAACTCACCTTTTTTCAGCTGCCATAAACTACAACAAATTAGAATCATATGGTTCTTGAGTAGAGAATATTCCGAAGTATGGCACGTATGTGGGATTGCATGCCTCTGCATGCAGTTCTTGGCCACGCCATGCAGCCCAGAAGCCATTGTGACCCTATTCCTTCCCCCACATCTAAAGCACCAGCTCATCAGTAGAAAAAAACAACATACAATTCTGATGGGTGGTTTCCCCAGTGGCTGGAAAAAAATACAGTCGTGCCCTGCTGGACAATTACCCCGCTCTACGACAAATCTGATTTACATTGATGTTTTTGCAATCGCTTTTGCGATCGCAAAATGATGTTTTAAATGGGGTTTTTTCGCTACACACAATTCTGATGGGTGGTTTCCCCAGTACTAGCAGTGGATGGAAAAAAATACAGTCATGCCCTGCTGGACAATTACCCCGCTCTACGACAAATCTGATTTACATTGATGTTTTTGCGGATGGATTCCTCACTTTGCAGGCACCAAAAATGGCTGCCGTATGGAGGATATTTGCTGGACGAGCAGGTATTCAGCCCAGATTTTCAATGCATTTCAATGTTTTTTTTTTTAATTTCATTTGACGACGTTTTCGCTGTACAGTGATTTTACTGGAACAAATTAACGTCATCAAGCGAGCCACCACTGTACCTTTAATAGGAGATCACACCAAAGCTTCTCCCAAGCTCTTGGCTATCTCCCTTTAGGGACAGACATTCCCAAGCCACTGTTGGTGGTGGTCACTGGGGCACCTTCAGCAATCCCTACATATCATTTCAACTCAGCTTCCCCACCCCACCCCACCCCATCTTTCTTGTACAGAATCATGTATAGCCTGTGGCTGTCCTACACTAGATGCAGTTCTCGGGGCAACCCTGATTTTCAATAAGCTCTTGTGATTCCCAGCAGTACACTGTTGTTTTGTATAGTGAATCCTCTTCAGCATGTTTTCATTTTCTTCAGTATGCTGTTCGTGGATGGCTGAAATCTCTGTGACAAAGAAATTTGGGGTAGAGCAAATTAATGCAGAGAGACTGCTTCCTTCTCTGATAAATACATAAGGGTTGCCAAGGGCAAAATTAGTTTTATCAATACAGTGTGTCTGTGCATAAACCAAGTCACATAGATTTGTCACCCAAGTTTTTACATCATAATTGGTTTCTGTATCTGCCTTCAACTGATTATATAAAGTTCATTGTAATTCCTGTCTAAGGTTCTGTATTAAAATTATCAGGTTCAGTGTAAATGTTGACTGTCTTGATCATCATTTAATTAACATCTTTAATAATATCAGCCTACTAGCTGTGACTTCTATATCTTAGAGATGTGCATCACCAACAGAGTAATTGAAATTTTATTGTACTCTTTAGTTTATTTCTTGAACCAGTTGCCAGTTGATGGCAGCAGCTAAATGTCAGTTAAGCTAGAGTTGATCTTTGCTTCAGATTATGGTGTATTGACATCGGACCTAAAAATGGCCTACAAATCTGTGTAAAAATGGCCCTGCTGCAAGTGAAATTCCTGATGCTTGTCCTCTGCCTCTAGTCTGCTCTGCTGAGATTGGAACCCATTCAGTGGAGGAGATTAAGAAGAAGAGGAAAAGCAAGTGAAAAGAAAATACTGGCAGGGAAGGGAAGATAGTAAGAATAAGCTCTTCTATTCATGGGGGAGATACAGGTGGCACAGAGGGAGGCCGATGGACATGTTTGTACCCTATCTAACTCCTGCAGGCACGGACAATAGTTGGAGACCCAAACCAGGATCATCCACACTCATATATTTTTCAGCCCTCATGTACGGGTGTGAAAGCTGGACAGTTAAGAGAGCCGACAGGGAAAAATTGATTTATTTGGAATGTGGTGTTGGAGGAGAGTTTTCCAGATATCCTGAACTGCCAGAAAAGACAAACAAATGGGTCTGGAAGTTGAGTCATGGCAACTGGACTTCTTTATTATTAGGTTGAAACATTTCACTCTTCATCTAAGTAGCTTCTTCAGTCTGAGGAGAGTTGGTAGGAGACCCCTGGTATATCTTCCACATTGATATATCTATCAGGGGTCTCCTACAAACTCTCCTCAGACTGA